TTTATTGATTTCCATGAGATTTTTATCTAGTTTAATTATTGTATGATATCATGGAAACTAGTTTGTTTCATTGTTTTTCAAATTTTTTTTGTAAATTTTACAGAATAGATTGCCATTGATAAAAATAACATTTTTTATCGTTCACTTTAATTTATCTAAAAGTTTTGGATTTATTCTTTTGCTTCCAAGTTATTCAGATCCTTAAATTAAATGTGAATGCTTTTCCTTTTTTCCACATCTTCCTCCGGTGGAATATTCTTCTATTTTGTGATCTCCTTTTTCTTTTCTTTCTTTAATATTTCTTTAATAACCTTGCGAGTTAAATCTTGATAGCCATGCTGGATAAATATATCCCTCCAGTTAACTAGTTAACTCTTAGATCTCGTTTCAGAGACATCGCGATCATTTCATGATTGATTGAGAAAGAAAGAAGAATTTGATATTTAAATACATGGTCAACTGGACCATCGCTATATCTCTTTCCTAATAAAATTAAGGGAATTTTTAATTAAAAAAAAAAAAAAAATGCGACAACTATCCCACTTCTTTTATCTAAAAAGGACAGCCTCGGTCAAATATTTTAGACCTGTAAGCTGTAAACTCCATAAACTCTAAACAAAGCGTTCTTTATTAAAAGGAAAACGCCATTACACCTTCCTTTATAGCTCTCTTGTCAAATAATTTTTCACTCTCTGTCACGTATACCACGATATAAAATCTTCAAAATTGAATAATTTGAAGATACGATTTGCATAGATTCACCTTCCGTCAGACATTTCTTCCATCTTCTTCCAGCAACTCTCGTTTCCAGCAACTTCGCTCGTTTTCGACACAAAAGAGGCTTCGCGGCCAAGAAATATTTGACAAATCAGCAGTGGAACCGACGGCTGAGAAATCAGTCGGATTGGAGAGGCCGATTTTCGAGCCCGCTTCTCGAGATTCCTTCACGTTTTATCTAATCGCCGATTCAGCACGTGTCAACGATTCTTCCCGATCATCAACTTTCAGCCTGACAAACAGCTGATCATATCATGCTTCGCGCCAATATCGAGTGCAACTTATTCACCTTTTATATTACACAAGTCACCTCTCTCCTTTTCTTCTTTTCTTTTCTTTTCCTTCTTTCAACGTCCATGCGTCTATCTCGCTCTCTCCCTCCTCTCTTCCGGCTCGCAAGGTCGATCTTTCACGTGTTCCGTTCTCGTGATCTCGAGATTCTTGAGAAGGACGAAGAATTTCCCTCTTCTTGTCGCTTCCTTTCCTTTGTCGAGATTATAATTCGAATCATAGTTTAAGAAGATTATTGTAACTGGTTTGTATCCTATCCCGTTTAAAAATGTAGGCTGGATGGTAATTTATTACGAGATTACTTACGCCATAGATGTAAAGTGAAATACATACTGTAACAATAAATATAGGATCACGTATTATTCAATGCTTTGTCTCTTAAAGTTTTAAGATTTTTGTTTAAAAGTATTTAACATCTGTGCGATTTGGTTAAAATTTCATTTTCACCTTTCATGTCTCGAAATCCTCTTGTAATCCTTTTCTAATAATGATTTCTTTAATTTTACTTCAACCGTTTCAACTTGGTTTTTTCCATTCTGAATAACTTGAAAAAATTAGAAAAAAAAAGAAAAAAGAAATCAGACGGTAGTTGCTTCAGTAATTTTCCGATTTATCAACTTATATCAATTTTGACGATCAATTGATATATAATTAACATATCATTTTTATTTTAACCCAATTTAAATATATTTCACGAATACATCTATATTCGATACAAAATTACCAATATTTCCATACAATACGCATAAATTGTTCCAATCCTCCCAATAGAATTGATCACAGTTTGAAAAAAAAAGAAAAAAATGACAAACTTTAAAATAAAAATAACATCCTTGCGTTACATCTAACGTTCTTTCTTCGTTCGCGGGTGTTCAAATTATCCCCAATAAAACCGAACCATTCCAACCAATAGTATTTCACCGTTTATATAGGAAGTTCGATGAAGAGGAACACAGTTCGCACTTTGTCACGTATCGTAACTGATAATAATCTCTAAACTCTGTCTGTCGTGGAATAAAGTAAGTGTGCGAGTTGTTAGAGTTGTTGGAGACGTTATATAGCTATTCCAGAGCTATAACGCAGAGCCTCCTAGAGAAGATGAAAATTGCTTGGCTCACAACTTTCTCTCAACCCTCCTCTCCCTCCCTCCTCCCATATATCTTGGCCCCTTGAGAATATAACGGGGGACTTCGTCCCCTTTTTTTTTTTTCTTTTTTTTTCTTTTCTTCTTTCATATCGATATTTAACAGTGGCAGTTAAACGCGTCGCGGATCATCAACCCTCGAACAGATCATCATCTGTGGATGGATCATCATCACCCCTCGTATTTACCGACGATGGGATTTCCCCATCGTGAATTATATGGGGAGGGGGAGGGGGTTCGCGTGGGAAAATTGTGAATGCCGCAAATCAATTTGCGGGGAGAGGGGGAGGGGGGTGTTGCGCGAGTTGAGATTCGAGGGTGAAGCGAAGATTAATTATAATGTTAATTATAATGTTTTCATTAGCAGTAGGATTAGAGAAAACTCCGTTGTAACGGAGTGAGAATTTTTTTGTGAATTTATAATATATTGAATTTGAATATTTGTAAGATATTACAAGGGGGAGAATAATATTATGCGTATTATAATTTCGTATTATGGCATCCTTTCGTAAGATTATTTATTATTTATTTTAGAATCGATATAATGCGAAATTAATTAGCAGGGATGAAAATTAATATATATATATATATATATATATATATATATATATATATATTGTAGATTATACCATTTAGAAAGAGAATATTATATTTCTTCACATTTTATAAATATAAATTGTTTCCTAAATAATATTTACAATATATATTATAATATATATTATAGTCTTTTTAAATACTTAATTATTAAAGATCGTTTATATGTGAAATGATTGAAAGTTAAACAATTAAATGATGGATACAATGAAATATATATAGAATCCAGGAATTAGGAAGTAGATTTCTATAAGTATTTACTTAAAAGTAAATTTAACTATAAAAATAAAATATAAAATATAAAATATAAATATAAATTTCGAATGATAAAAATAACTTGTGAATTAATTATTTAATTTATAATTTTTTTTAAGACTATGTGATAATAAATTCCTGTATTTAATAATAATTTATTTTATTATATATTTTTGAATACTATGTTTGAATACTATGTTTTAGGAATGTTTTAAATTTCATTTCTAATTCATTTGTTGTTGAACCAAGTTTCCTTTATTTAAATTCTATCATTATTCCTATTATTAAAATATTCGCATTATATATCAGAATAGATTATTCTTACATTTCTTCATTTTCTTATATTCAAAAGGAGTGATTGTGTTAAAAGAAAAATGAAACTCAAGAGCAAGTATAAACAAGAAGAACAAATAGTGGGAAAAAGATAGAAATAAATTCAAAATTAAGTAATCAGCACCATCTCTGGAATGCCGCAAATGAAACATAAATGTAAACAAAGAGAATAAGTGAAAAAAAGATAAAAATAAAATAAGAATTGATTATCAGTGTCATCTTTCAAATATCAATGATACTTTTTAAATATCAAAAATTCTCAAGAGATAGCACTGATACTTAATTCTAATTTTACCTTATCCTATTTTTGAAGAAGTATCATTTATTTTCGAGAGATGACGCTGATTTTCAATTCTTACTTATCCTGCTTCTGAAGAGATATCATTGATATTTGAGAGATAGCGTTAACAATCAATTCTTGTTATCTTTATCCTTTTTCTATTTATTTTTCTTGTCTGCATTTGTATTTCATTTGAGACACTCCAAACATGCTGTTGATTTCTTCTCTGTCTTTTTCCCACTATTTCTTCTCCTTATCTATATCTATTCTGCAAAATTTATCAATCAATAGACAACTTCGATATCTGATTAATAATTGACCAGTGAAAAAAAAAAGCAAGGAACACATATCTATATGATTTTAATAATTATATACCAGTAATACATATAAATAAATTTAGTTTTAATAGTATTATACTTGGATCTTGGATAAAAGATTTTTAAAAAATCTCATAAATTGATATTATTTTTATTGAATTGTATAATAGCTATGACCAATATTAATAAAAAGTATAAGCATAATTTTTAATTCATAATAATTCAATTTAATTCATAAATCATTCAACTCATTTATGAATCTATCATTTATTCGTATAATAATAAAAATAATAAAAATTCGTAAACACTAAAAAGATTTTTAAATACAAATTAATATAATACATATATACATATAATACATGGAATAATATTTTTGAAAGGATGTATTGAAGAAATTATTTTTAAAATCTATTAACTTTATCAACTTTTTGTAATTGAATTAAATATAATTTCCATGCTTACTGTCACAGATGAAATAAGTCTTATACTTCTTCAATGATAAAGTCACGGATTAGATATAAGAGTTTTATATCTAATCTGTGTCTTCGTTTCACTTTTATCAATGCAAATTTAAATTGTTTAATAAATAAGCAATTAACTTAATAAATAAGTTCAATTGATATATATATATACTGATTTTTATGTTTTGATCACTGGAATCAATCCTTTGATCCAAAGATATTCCATAGATATATTAATATCTTGTATACGTAACATACGTAACAGCTAAAAGATCAATGGATTCTTTTAATTGGATGAATAAAATCATAATGTCGATCAAAATTACCCGTAAAATATTTCACTTTATTTACTCATAATTTTTGATTCCTGATATTGAAATACTGAATTCGAATCTATTTGTTAAATTCTATCAAAAAATATAAAAAAATATTCAAATATTTGATTTGAAAAATTAAAATTTAACCAAATTTTATATTTTAAGTTCATATGATGCTATCAATAGAGGGCGATACAAATTTTATAAAAATATAAGCTCAAAGTAAATAAATAATCGTCAAAAGTGCTTTATTTTTAAATTATATTGTTTAATGTTTCTCATGTTTTTGTACAAAGTGATAAATCGCCATTTATAGAATAATTTGTGAAACTACCTATCGCTATGAAAATCTTTTTATTAAATGATATAGTTGAACACAGATAAAATGGTTGTTTTAAAATAATCTGGAAAACTAATGAATAAACATGTTTAACGTATATAATTAAATAAAAAATTGCATAGAATTGATAATAAATAATATTAATTTAAATTTTAAAATAAATACACAATCTGTGTATGTATGTGCAAGATGATTTTAATATACCAATAATATAACCTAAATTCAGTTCGATGATTTATTGTTTTACATCGTATCATCTTCAAAGTTAAAATAATTACAATATACGCATAATATGAATTATAATAAAAATAAGTGTAGAAATGTAGTAACAATTTTATAAATATTTCAAATAAAATAATTTAAAAATACATTTCATAGTGTAATTATGACGCGCAAGTGTGTACTGTGTAAGGAAACCAATTACAGAAACACTTATAGCTTTTTCTCAGCACCAAAAGATCCTGAAACCCGTAAAAAATGGCAAAATGCCATAGCCATTGAAAATTATGCTGTTACCGACGATACATATGTTTGTAGTAAACATTTTCACAAAGATGATATTATCACACATTGGGTTAGTGGTGTACCTCCACATGTTGTAACTGTAAGTTTAACTATTTTGTATTTATCATATATCAATACTGTTATTCTTTTTACTGCATAATTCTATTATTTTGTAGATTAAATATAAGAAATGCAGATTAAGACCAGGAGCTGTACCAGAAAGGAATTATCATTCTGAAGATGTCCAAGAAAATTATGATGATTCTCAGAGTAATATTGATAAATTTGATAAAATAGATACAATAGAAGAAAAAAAACCAGATTTTCTTATACCTAGAACTGAAGAAGAATTACAAATAAATAATGATGAGAATCAGTTTTCTTGTGATTTTAATGATTATATCCATAATTCTAAAAGAAATTCCTTAAATAAAATGGAATTGATGGAAAATAGTCCAAATGTAAATAATGCATCTTACAATGGATCTAAAATTAAAGAATCTTTGAAACAAAATAAAACAACAAACTTAATGGAAAACTGTATCATTTCTGAAACAAATTTGATGGAAGGCGCAAATTTTGAAGATAAAAGAAAAAACCAAAGTCAAATATCTAAAGGAGATTCCTATTTCAAGATACAGAAAAAAAGTTCAGAGTCTTCCTCCAAAAATTATATTTCTGAAGAACATGAAATAATAGAATGGAAACACAAAACAGTGAAAAAAGATACATCATCTAAAGAGAAATCACCAGATAATTTTAAAACGGAGAATGTATATAAGATGTATATAGAAAATCAAATAGTACACAATTTAAATTATAATCAGTTAGATGAACATTATTCTATGTGTAATGAAATTGATGAAAATGAAATGTTATTTGAAGATTTACTTGAAATATGTACTGAAATATTATTACCACGTGGATGGTCATGTTTAGTAACTTCAAAAGGTCATACAACAACAATAGTATATTTATATATGGGAATGACAAAAAGTGGTATGCCTTTCACAGAAAAGCAAGTATTTATAAAGAGTGATATGATGTTGCATTGTGTTGTTATAAATAAAGAAATTAATCCACTTATTCACAATCTTATAAGAGAAGGAAAACATTTAAAAGTACAGAATTTATCAGATATAGAAGAACTTATTGATGAATTTGATCGAAGAACTGTTTGTCAAGGTATTTATATTTCTTTTTCTTTTTTCTTTGATTTATATTTATAATATAATAAATATATCTTTTATATTTTAAATTAGGTATATATAATTTCGGAAGATTACAAGATATTAATCGTATCATAGTTGCTTATAAAGATGGTATAAAATGGAGACACATTTTATGTCCATTAATAGTGAATAACGATTCATCAAGATGCACAAGATGCATTTCATTGTCTCGTACATTACAGCATAAATCAAAAAATCTTGTATTTCCTCACAATTCTTCAATATTTAAAAACCAGCATCAGAAAATACATTCAGTACGTCATAAATACAAACATACAAGGAAACAAGGTCATGGATATGAATTTATAAAAGTATTCAAATAATAATTTTAAATAAAAATTTTTAAAAAATACAATTTTTAATTACATTCTCTACCTTAATTACTTGTGAAGAACATTATATAGAACATTATATAGAATTATAAATTGTTTTGAAAATATATGTAAAATTATTATAAAAATGTTGTTTGTTTCTTTAATTTGAATAATAGTCACTTTACATTTTAATATTACTTTACATCATTCTATAAATTTTATTTAATTTAATTATATAATTAATTAACATTAAACAACTTTTTCACTTACGAAATTTAGGTCTATCTTCATATTTAATTTTATTGTTCTTCGTATTTTTTAAACGTTCCTAAAATATTTATTAAATATATAAAAATTTACACATTTATTCAATATTTAATTAATTATTATAAAAAAAAACAATGTAAATAAATTTAATTTTTTTTTACGAAAAATTTTTCTTACCATAGACCATTCTATCCTTAATTGTTCTAACATTTTTGGCGTTAAAAGACCTCGAGATATTAACCTATTACTTAATTTTTCTTTTGATTGGTTTATATAGTTATCTATATATAAAACATAATTGTAAAAATATAAAGAATAAACTTAATATATAATAGTTTTTAATAATCAATAAATTACCATTTAATGTTTCAGAATTTTCAAATGATTGTTGTTGCTCATTATTTTCCAAAGCACCTATTTAATAAAATTAAATAACATTATTTGACCTGTTTATTTTTAAACAAAAAAATTAATTCAATATCAGATACCCGTTTTCGACTTTTGAAATAATCTTGTTATTTTTTTAATTCCCTTCTCAATAATTTTGTCTAATTCATGTTGCAATTTCCTAACTGAATCTCCATCAGGAAATAAATTTGATATCCGGTAACTGTATTATAATATAAATTGTATTACAATTTAATTTTTTAAAATAATTATAAAAAATAATAAAATTATATTCTTACCTTAACCAAAGATAAACATCTAGGGTATCAAATATACCTTCTAAACGTAAAAGCTCAATAAGATTCGATGGTATTTCGGGAGGCCATTGAATTTGCTGGCATAACCATAAAATAGTTACTGGCTCATTTTTACTACATTGTCGAGCATACTAAATAAAAAATATATATCTTATAATCTTTTTATAATTTTTAAAAGTTTTATAATCTTGTTATAATTTTAATCTATACCTTTAGAAACATACTGCATGTTAAAGGTATTTTTCTATTAACTGGTGCACAACAAAATAAATATCGCGTAGAAAGAGGCAAAGGTATATGTTGTATCATATCAGCAAGAAATTTAAAATCATCTAAATTACATATAAAATATAAAGAATTGTCAACTTCAGACAATGCAATAAAAATATTCTGAAAAAAGAAATATTTTAAAATTATAATAAATTATAAATTAATTATATTCAAATATTACAATGAGATTTGATAATGGTGCATTTGGTAAATAATAAGAATATAATTCTATTTGATCTGCAGTTGGATGAAGTCCAGCTTTTTGAATATCTTGCGGAGTTTGTGCTAATAAATTTTTTAATAAAGACAAATCTTCAGGTTTGTAAGTTGTTACAAATCCCTGTAACATAGAAACTTAATAATAAAATTATACTTTTTATATTATTATATTTTATTTATTTTTATTCATTTAAATCTGATTATAAATTACTTTAGACCATTGTGTTCCATAACGTCCAGCACGACCTGCTATTTGTAATGCAGATGATACTGAAATTGTATCAATATCTATTTCTCCTTTTTCATTTATAGTTGGTTGCATTAAACTATAAAATATAATTCTGCGAATATGTCTGAAAAAATATCAATATTTTTTAATATAATTCTAATGTAATATAATTCTATAATATCTTGTTAGATATTATAGAAAAATTGAAATTTTTAATTATAATCTTACAAATTAAGACCCATTCCTATTGCATTAGTAGCTACTAATATATTACAAGGATCTTGAGGGTTATTAAATCTTGTAGCTTGCGCTAATTTTGTGCCTGGTGGTAAACTACCATATATTACAGCTACTTTATGTCCCATTTTTTCAATAGCATTTGAAACAGTGAATATTTCGTTTCTACTAAAACAAACAATACAATCTCCTGGTTGAATATTTTTTAGAGAATAAAGTGCTGAATTTTCTATTTCAAGTGGAGTCAATCGTTTATATTCCTTTATTTCTACTGATTCACCTGTTGTTAAGCATATCGATTGTATCTATAACAAAAATGTTGTAAAAATTTTAAAAATAAATAATATTTTAATATTATTATAATCATTTATAAAATAAAATTATGAAACAAACTATGGGTACAGCAGCAGATTCACCACATAAATGTATTTCATTTGCAGCAAGACCAAGAAGAGCTCTTGTCCATGCCCAACCTCTAGTTGGATCACGTATTAATTGAATTTCATCAATTACTGCTACTTCATCTGTAAAAATTATTTATTTAATTTACAATAATTTATTTGATAAAAATTATATGAAGCAATAAAATACATTACATAAAAAATTATAAATCAAATTTACTTACAAACATTTTGTATATTTGTCATTTCTACAGAACATGAAATATGATTAGCAGGACATGTTACATCTTTTGCATATCTATGTTCTTCTCCTGTTATTAAATCACAAGGTGTACCCTAAAATTATTTATATTTATTAAAATAATATTATAATATTAAAATAATATTTATTAGAATAAAAGTAATTAAATGATATTTTTTATACTAACCATAGAATTACATTTATTAAAAACTTCACTAGCTAATAATTTTAATGGTCCACAATAGACACCACTTTTTGCTGACATAAATCTTTGTAAAGCATGATAGGTTTTACCACTATTTGTAGGTCCAACATGAAATATAATTTTTCTCTTTTTAGATCGTGCTATAGGATACCTAAGAATAATAATAATTAAATTTAACTTATACATATTTAAAGTTTAATAATATATTATTATAAGTATTACCATTTAGATGGATTTCGTAAATCACTGATTTTTTTCAATTCATCTAAACATTCAATATGTGGATACATTTTTTTTACATAATCCAAAAAATAAGGATATATATCTAAAATATTTCCTGCACCATTCATAATATCACTTAAAACAATATGAAGATCTGTAGGTAAATTATCGGATTCTATACAATGTTTTCGAAAATTTGCCATAGCTGAGGTAAAAATTAACTCTACAAATAATTAGATAATTAAGAAAAAAATATATAAAATTAAGAAAATTAATCAAGATATAATTAATAAAAATTACCATCTAATCCATATTTTATAGTTAATTCTTTAATTTCTTCCTTCCTTGCAAAATCACATAAAATTTGTATAATTTTACGTTTATTTAAATTACCAGTTAATTCAATACCAATTGCATTATCTGAATTTTCTTTTACAGGAACTGGTTTAAATAAAGAATTTATAGATTCTTTAACATTTAAATTGTTATTTTGTTTTCTTATTATATTTTGTCTAAATTTACTTCTAGAACATAATTGTCTAAAAATCATATACATTTATTAGATAAGTTAATATAAATTAATATAATTTAAAATTTTTGTAAATGCTATAACAATTACAAATGTAACAAGAAAAAAAATATACACCTCAAAAGTGAAGACACAATAAAATTATTTCGTGTTTTTAATTGTTCTGTAACAATAAACATAATTGATATCATTGTTAAAACTAATTTTATTTATTTTCATATTCTATAATTATTTTTTATATAAAGAACTTAAACCTCGTGTCAAAAAGGTTAAAATATGTGGCGACATCTTTGTTATTGAAATGAAATGATAATGTATATATAGTAGTATAGTCAATGTTAAATTTTTCATTTTAGTTTATTAATAGTGTTAATTATTAATAATGTTAATTATTCTCAAAAATTATATATTTTTTTATATAATTGTAACAATAAGAGTAAAAATATAATTTAAAAAATTTTAATAAAATTTCAATATTAATTTTTCTAACTTTAAACAATAGATTTTAATTTAGAATTCTATTAAATTAACATTTATTTTCATAGATTTAGAATATATAGTTAAAATTCTTTAAAATTTTATATAATTTTTTAGATTTTTAAATAAGATTTATAATTTTTTATATTATATTTAAATCATCATGTCAATTTATTCAACACAGTTAATAATTTTTGTTTTTACCAATAATTGTAATAATTTATTATATATATATATAAAAATTTAATAAACTACATATTAATTTAGCAGAAAATATTTTGTAAAAAATTATACATACATGTTTCATTGTTTTAGCATAGATTTTATTTTTTTCTTGTAATAATTATAATAATACATTTAGTGTGCAACAGTTGTCATACTTGAAATAGTTTTCTTTCTTTTATTTATAATTACTTTCTTTTATTTATTAAAATGAATTTTATTTGTATATTATTTACATTCTGAAAAATTCAAAAATTCTAAAAAATAATTTTCAAAATTATAAATTGTCTTAATACTAACCAAAATTTTTATTTTGAAATAAATTGATATAATTTTATTAAAAAGTTTAACATAGTTTAAAATAAAATTTAAGTTTAAGTTTAAAATAAAATTTTAAAAAATAAAAATACAATTTTATATTTATATTTATTATATATATAATTTATTATTCATTTATATAAATATATATATATAATGATACAATTTTATAAAAAAAATTGTATTATATGAATTTATATCTTTTAATAGAATTTTATTCTTATAAATATAATTTTTAAGTATTATTTGAATGTAAGTCTTATGTATTATTGTCAAAATTTTTATATTTGAGAATGGTTATTCTTTCTTTTGTTTCTTTCTTCAGATCAATCATCTGTCATTAAAGATATTATTTTGGAAAGGTTAATTCTTTCTTAAAATTTATTTATTTTTTATAAATTTTTCGTAACAAATTTTAAATATAAAGAATATGCGTAAGTCAAAATAATATCTATTTACTATTTTATTATATCTTTGAGTGAATAGAAAAAGTAAAATTTTTACAGATCAAACAAGTGTAAAATGTAATGTAAAATTATGTTCGAACAATGATATTCCACCATCGTCAGTAATTCGCACTTGCCTTGGTCCATCCTTGGCACAAGTATTTTTTGACTATACTCATCATGATACATTAAAATTATTAGATGTACTAATAACATCAAAAACATCAAAACCATGTTTTTCAATTTCTCCCGAGGATCAAATGACCAAAAATGATGTACCACCAACAGATCATCAAATCATAAAAGCATTTGTACATCAAAATATATTAGGTAATATTATTAAATATATGCGACGTAATTCGAATAAAAATAGTAATTTAAATATATTTTAAATAAAATTAATAGAGTTAGGTGAAGCTCTCTTAGAAAATTTAAAAAAGGAAGTTGAAGAAAATTTAAGGGAAAAAGTAGAAAGGCAATCGCGAGAGAAGTTTTATTTATATCAAGCAAAAAAAAGGCGAGAAGCCGATCTGCAAACACAACAATTGCATGAAAAATATCAGAATTTCCTTGAATCTGTTCGAGTCAATTTACAAAAACAGCTCGAAGTAATAATTTTCATTACTTTTTATATATTTTTCATAAAATTTCACATGAATTTATTGTTTTTTAAATGAGTATTTTTCAATATTTGTTATAAATATATAACTATCTATATACTAAGTATAAGAAAAAAAAATAGAATTTAATTAATATATTGTTATAATTTAATTAATATTCATATTTCAACAAAAAATAACTTAATAATATTTTATTTAAATTTGAAATAATGTTTCAATTGATCATATATATATACATAAAATAATCATATACATAATCATATTAATCATAATCATATACATAAAATGTTTTCAAAAATCTTTTTTATTTTTTTTCTTTTTTTGTAAAATCTAATAAGCTGATGTGTTTTTATCGTATAGATAAATAATGATATGAATGATATGTTAACAATATTAAAAAAAATTTAAGATTTCGTGACTAATTTAATATAATTGAATTTATTACAAATAATTTTTTTTTAATTTCATGATATTAATTTTACATTTATAATTAAAGTCTTATACAAACAAAAAATTTCATGTAATGAAAAATTTTATTTTAAAAACGTTTAATATACGATTATATAACTTTGTTTTTCTTCAAGATTGTTCTATATGAGAATCGTTATCTAATTGAAATACTGCCTTATGAAAAAAAATATATATATATATATAATATTTAATTCGAAAAAAAATTAACGATATAAAAAATCTTTTCAATTTTTATAAATAATTCGAATAAAAATTAAAAACAGATAATTGAATGAGATTCTATTGAAAAAATATATACGAAAATAAGAAAATATATGTATATATATTTATATTCATATAATATAAAGAATAATTCATATAAAGTATTAAAAAATCATTTTTTATAAATTTTCTTTTTTTTTTAATTAAATTTTTTTTAATTTGTCTTTTGATATAAATTGATAATAAATGATTAGTATCAAATTTTTGTAAGAAAACTAATAAGATAAAAAATTTTTCTATACGAGTATTTAAAAATTAAAATTACATAATTACATTTTAAACATGTAATGAAATAATATAAAATATTCCGATTTTTTCGCATTCGTGTATAAATTTTTACTACAAATTCTTAGCTTATAATAAAAGTAAAAAAAAATAATTTAAGTAATTTTAATATTTTAATGAGCATTATTTTATTTGATGAGAATTGTTCGAATAACAAAAAATTAATACCATTTTCTATTTAAAAAATCTAAGATAGCTTTCTATCTTTCGTTCTAACAATGATTTATGCTAAAAAAAAAAATTTGTTGTTTATCAAAAGATCCCCTATCATTATTTCTTCATTTAATTTGAAAAAATAAAAGAAATTGATATCTTTATTAATTTTTGAGAAAATATTTTATAAGATATAAAAGCTTATATATTTATATATAATACTAATAAAACAAAAGATAAGCTATAACTTATAAAAAAAAAAGATAATTATTTTTCTTAGAAAGAATGGTTTAAAGCAGCTGAAGAATGTGCCAAGAATACTCAAAAAGCAATTATACAAGAACGGATGAATATAACACAGGAAATGATACGAAAGATGCGCGTAGAAATCACTCATATTACACAATCATTATATAATGATTTTGAAAAATTATTTTGTGCTAAAAGGGATACTATAATCGCTGATTTCAATCAAATCATGAGGTTTATATCTGCATATTCGTAAATGATGCATTTATATAATTAATTTGAATTAAAATTCACACAGGAAGAGACATATTAAATTTAAAAACGAAATGCAAGAATTAAAAGAAAAGGCGAATAGAGATATGTATATTCAAAAACGTCAATTTGAAATGCAAAGTGTCACAGATATAATTTATGTTCTTTGCTTAGAGCGAGTGCGAAGTAATAGAGAAAAACATGCCATACATAAATACTTCGAAGTAATAAAATTATTCAAATTTTATTAATTATTTAAAAAAAATATTTTATAAAAAATTATATATTAATGCAGGAAAAAATTGATGAATTTTATGAATTAATAATCCATTTGAGAGATATAATTAATATTATGAAAGAAGAAATTATTAATTGTCATACAAATAAGAAATTGTTAGAGGAAAAACTCTATAATGTTACTAAACATTTTCAAAAATTCATTAATTTCATTTTTCATGCTATACCAGGACAAGCAGATTATTTATTACCACCAGAATTACAACATTTGATTAATTTAGACATAGATAAAGAAGATAAAAAGAATAATAGAATAATAGAAGAAGATAAATAGAATAACTTAGAAAAATATAAAATTAAATATATAATATGTGAAAGTATTTCTCTTTAAAATATTATAATGTAAAATATTAAAATGTTATAAAATGTTATAAAATATAAAAGAAAAAAAATTATTCTTATTTGTAATATTTCAATGTGAAAAACATATAATTGTTTAGCGAAATATCTTTATTGTTGAAATTGTATTAAATGTAAAGTATCGTTAATTAAACATAACTTATTTTTAAAAACAAAAAAATATGAATGTAAAAGATTTATTATTATATAAAATATATGCTAATAAATGATATCAAAAATAAAAACACAAAATTTTTACAATATTAATATTTTTATATAATAAATTTATGTATAATATTAATATAATAAAAAAATTTTTTATTATTTATAAAATAATATAAATCGAAAAATAAAAATTAACGAATTATATAATAAATTTATTTATAAAATTTTTACTGGTCATCATAATTTTTATTATTTAAAAAAGATAGCTGATAAATAATTTTTATAAAACTTTAATAAAAAATATACCTGATTGAAATTTTTATTTAATACTGATGAAAATTTTATTTAATAAATATATTTATATTTATAATTAATTAATTTCATCGCATACAAATGTTAATCTTCTTGAAGGACGATACCATTCTGGATCTTTATGAAGACTTGATATTTTTGGATGATAAAATTCACGCATCATAACAAATGTGTGTGAAACTTTACTTCGTGGAATTGGTGGATAATCTGATAGATGCCATCCATATATCCAATTTGTACATTCCGGATAGTAATAACGACTTTCTGGAAGATCTTTTAATCTAAAATAATTAATGAAAATATTAGTAAAAAATATTGGTATATTCTTCAATAAAAAAAGTTGAAATCAAAAATAATATAAAGGAAGAAATATAACAGATTTTTTTATTGAAATCTTTTTTTCTTTTACTACAAAATATTAATATATGCAAAACCTTTTATAAGTATAATTTTCATTGGTGATAAAGCTTGGAGCGTCTTCAAATAACATGGCTCTCGTTTGTGGATCAATTGGTTTCATTATATTCATATTGATAGAACCATCAGGTTCGAGAGGTCTCCAATTTGGTAAGGGTTTTAAATGTATCTATAAAATAAAAAATCTCATATAATTCTTGTTATAAAATTAGTATAGATATATGTAATATATTATTTACGATTATATACAATGCCTATGCTTGGTTTTTTCTCTGGTTCATATTTCGGCGGCAATTCAACTTTTGTTACTTTTTCTAAATGATCCAATAATTTCTGTTGGTTTTTCAAAAACCAGTTAATACGTGTGTTTTCCTCTTTTTTTATCATTTCAGTATGAAATGCTTGACAACGTGTATTACAGACTCCTTTGGTCGTCATGATTTAATTTTATTATGTGTTCAATAATTTATATAAAATTGTAATCAAAATTTGGATATAAGCCCACTGATTTAAAAAAAAATTACATTTATAAAGAATTTTCAACATAGCATAACTCTGAAATGAGAATATATGTTATCGCGATTTTCTAATGTTTTTTTATTAATTTAGTAGACAAAAATAATATTTTCATGACTCTTTTTATATTTTATTTACATTACAGAATCATTTTATTTACATTATTATTACATATAATACGTTTTATTGTATATCGTTCATTTATTTTTTCGTGCGCTAACATTATCAACTTATGCAATAATATATCAGTGGGAGCATTATTTTATATATAAGTTGATAAAAAAAATTTAATAAGCAAATATTAATTAAAATGAATAATTCTATTAATTTTTCAGGTAAATAGTCCATAAAAATCAATTGGTCATCATGATCTCTGCAAATATACATAAAATTTAATTTCGTAAATATTAATAAAAATTAGGCGCTAATATTATTTTTTATACTATGTAAGGTGAGTATTTATTTAAACAATTAAAAAAAATTAAATTTTGCGCGATTATTAAATTTTAAAGATTACTGCGAAATGCACATTTATTAAACACCGAACTAAATACTGTTTATTTATTCGGTGTATTGGCATTTTACATTATACATATAACATATACATGTATATTTACATGCATAGATTAATTTATATGCCAAATTTTATTATAAATTTTATTTTTTTGTTAAAAATCATATCTTCGCACCATAAAAATAATTTAAATATATATTTTTCTTCGTTTGAAAAAAAATTTATCAAAAGACATTTATAAAAAGATTATACATATATTTTTATGTATACAACAATTAATGACATGTTTTAAGGTGTCAAATAATATTATATCGGTAGCGATGAACAATAATAAATAAATATGGCGTGAAGTATGAGTTTTCATATGATATTACTCCCTCTTAAAGTCAACATCAAATGACTCAGTAATCACAGCCATAGGAAGCAATATTGTGATATAATGTTTAGATGAATTATTTATATTACACAGACTAAGGAGCAATTCTTAATTTGTACTTGTATAATCAAGGCGAATTGTACTTGTTGCACAATAAGATTGCCGTTTCTTTGCTTTATAATTTGTTTCTTCATACTGTACACACGCACGTAATATTAACTTATCTATACTGTTCTACAAGATAGTCTAAATTCTGTACCTTTTTATGCAGGACTTATCTAATGTTTCATTTCATGATTAATGAAGGTATTAGTAAATTTACATTTTATCTAAATTTAGATGAACCGCGTTATCATTTTATGATAATAAATTGAATACTAAAATTTTATATTTTTCATTCGAAGTATATAAGATTTTCAATTAAAAATTTTTAATTTCAAATTTTAAATGTATCATTTTAATTGTACTACACACACTGCTTCGCTAATCAATTTTTCCATGCATCCCACTGTTTGTTTTTTAATCTAAGTGTACAATAATGGTACAATATTAAATATACTAATTAAATTTATTATTCTAATTTACTATTCAAATAGAGCATATTTTTCAAATTTAATATTTTTAAAGATAATTATATTATTGTTTTATTTATGATTTAACCAATATAATTTTACTGTATTTAATTAAAATACTTTTCTTCTATACAAAATATGTGTATATCATTTTGATTCAAAATTACATGGCTCACTTTAATGAATAATTATTGTAACATTTAAATTTTTTTATCACGTATTTTATGAACGCCAAAAATACATTCGCACGAATAATTCATAAATTATTTTAACAAAAGTAATATAAACTATTTCATAAATAAATTGAACATAGTTTACATATAATTTAGCATGTTTGTTATATAATCTTTTTTAAATTTTCATAATGAATTTCTTGTTGATTAATATAAACGATATGGTAAATGATAGTGTGTTTAATAATACCGGATAACTATCATTTACACAACATTTATATTATATTATCCTTTATGAAATAATATTACTAATTAATAATTGTATTTCATTAATTTTTTAAAATAATACATTATTAATTATTTTGTTTAATAAAATATGATATTCAATAAAAGTTTCAAAGATTCTATAATATCTTTATAGTATGTTAAGAAAAACAAAATATCTTTTTATTATATAACAATTCCTTCCTTTTAGATTTTATATCAATTATAATAATGTTTTAATGGTTTGGTAAATATTTGTAAATTACTACTTGCTGTTTACTTCAATGTACTAGAAAATGCAGTCATTAGTTTGTAATTATACATTATTAAATAGTCATATATTAAAAAATAACTAAAGAAATTTTCTGATTCATTTTTTTTATGAGTTGAGCTTGCGTCCTGCACTTGGCTCAAAATGGATTTTCATTTATACATGTATTTCTTCATTACGAATTATTATATACATGTAATAATAGCGTAGATGAATTAACGAAATATTATTGATAAACTCTCCAAATACGAAAAAACGGATATTTTATCTACCATTCAATATAGTTCTTCATACAGTTCAAATGGTGTCGGTAAAGATTCAAAAATACTTAACTCGTTGTCACACCGAGTAACACTGAGATTGGAGCATTTTTATTGAGATATAAGCTCATATCTTGAAAAAGACTAGAAAGTGAAATCTAGAATTTGAACTTTGGTTCTGATTAATTTCACTCGAAGAATCATTATCAACTTCTGGTCCACGATATCCATCATCTTGTTTTTCTTGAAATATATATTTGAAAAACTCATATCTAAATAATTAATAAACAAAAATTATTATATTTAACATTTTAAATAATATTACATAGTATAATATAAAATAGAAAATATTATAAATTATTTATATCATAATTATTGCATTAATTTTTTTTATTAATCTATTTTAGATTTATAGACATATAATTAATTCTATATTTTATGTATCTATAATTAATATTTTTCTATTTTATAATATTAAATATAATTCTTATTAAAATTATTTTATATACTTACGTTGACCAACAAATAGTTGTGGCTGGCATTTGATAAAGAACACGGGCATTTAAACCACGGAAATAGCTAGATAAACCTCCATATCTATACACAATTCTTAAAGCATCTTTCATGCCTTGAGCTTGTACACCATTTTGTGTATTTAGAAGTGTTTTACAAACATCTAAAGGTGTTGTAACTGCAGCAGCAACAGCTCCTGCTAATGCACCTGTAATTTATTCATATGTTAAATTCAATATAAATAAGTTTTAAAATATAATATATTTTTTTTTTCAAAAAATATATATACCTGATACCATATGTGCTATTGGATTATAAATATGATTAGGATTTGTAATAATTTGTGCAACTTCGTAAGTAACAAAATGGATTGTTTGAAAAGGTATATTCATAGTCAATTGTGTCGTGTAACTTCTATAGAATGCATATGCACCTTCATTTTTATATATATTTCTTATACATGTCATAACATTTTGATAAGGAGAATTATACATTTGTAATCGCTGTTTAACCACTGGAATAAGATAATTATTTTCTTCATTGGAAAAAATTCTAAAAATTATTAACCACATTTAGCTGATTAAGTTTCCATAAAAAAACATATTTAGCATGTTTTGGAAATATTCTGACATAATATATGAAAATTACATGATAAATTAATAATTTATTTATTTGCTAATAAATTTAAAATGTTTTACCTTCTGCTGGATTCATTATACCATCATGAAGAAGTGTTGCCACAAAACCAGCAATTGCATAAGGAGCTACATTCAATTCAGAATATGTTCTTGAATTCAAAAATTTATTTTTAATAAACTCATAACATGAAAAATACAATGCATGTGCAGGACCAGCTCCTACAACCATTGCACTCATACCACGAATTGGTCTCAAAAAACCTTCTTGTTGTACCATTCTCCTTAGAACAGTTCTTACTCCACCTCTTACACCTGCATTTGGTGTTAATGCTTGCATTCTTGTCTAAATAATATAAATAAAATATAAAATACATATAGATATAAATTTATTTATTTAAAATTTTATTTATTAAATTTTACACTTTCCAAATGTCATATTTTATTACTAATTTAAAGTATTGATTACACATTTAAATATTAATTAATTATAATTTAAAATAAAGATTATACATATAAGAATATATGATTTAGAATGCAATAATAAAAAAGTTAAAATTATTTAACTTTTATTAAATATTTATTAGATTGAGAAATCTTTATTACTCTTTTAAAATTTTAATTGATATGATGAGAAAACATATAGAAATACTAAAATAAATAAAATCATGATTTGTAATTATTTAAAAATATAATTATTTTTAATTAAATATTTATTAATAATCTCACTAAATATATTATATTACAATAAGAAATATATAAATAAATACATAATATTTTAAAAATAATATAAAGAAAATATAAAACATTAAATTAAATTTAAAATTTGTACTTTTATGATATATTGTTTATATAATATAAATTTTTATGTTATTTTATATTTACATTTCATTGCAAGTATATTTTCTAAGTAATTGTGAAAGTAATTGCTAATATAGATTGTAGGTTGAAAAGAAAACCAAAAATAGAACCTACTGTAACTAAGAAATGTGTTATATAATGAATGTTTAAAACTCATGTTCAGTTTAATTATTTTACATGTTAAAATTATTTACAATTAAACTTTACTTTTTTAATTAATAATAATTATAAAATTACAAATATAATATTTAAGTATTGTGTATACTTTACAAAATATAATATATATAAATATGACATAATAAATATATCAAATACTAAAATAATATATATACAATTAATAAATAAAATTATATAAAATAAATATCTAAAATCAAGTTTATAAGAAGATAAGTAGAATTTTATTCATATATTTTAATAATAAAAAGGGATTATAAGAAATGTTTACATATTTATAAATTAATTAAAAACAATTAAATAGAGATTAGAAAGTTTATTTTTTATTACATAAAATCTTTTTTATTTATTATTATCAGTTAACACAATTCCATTATTATTTAATTATGAATAGTTAAATTTACATTAACAACAATATTTTCTCAGATAATAATAAATTATATATTTATCACTGCAATACGTATTGAAATATAATAAACTATTATTACAAAATATTAATATTAAATTATTTGATAACTAATACAATCATTTGTAAATTCTAAAAATTAATACCTGGAAGTAATTACGAAATTATATTGCTTAAACTGATTGCACAATAAATTTATAATTATTTAAATTAAGATACAAAACACGAAATTATGGTTGAATATTAATATTATATTATATTTTACGAATATTTGCAATTCTTGAAAATTTAAGTACTTTTCTATTTATTTAAGATTACATCGACGAGATCATATATGACAAACCTGATTTCCAGATTTGAATGAGGAAAAAGATAAAATTCAAAGAACTATCTTTGAATATCACATTTTATTATTCAAAGATTGTGCGACTTGCAATGTCATGGTATTAAATGTCATGATGATGTTAGAATATGACGGAAATTAAATTCCGTGAAATAATAGTTGAGGTTATGTAAAGTATCTTAGAAAAAATATACAAGAAATAAAGTTATTACCTTAACACTGTCAAGTGGATACATAACACAATGTTCCATAATTCCGGCAAATGCACCTGCTGTCATGTGTACAGCCACAGATGATGTAGGTAAAGTCTCATAAATTTCAGTATTCATATTTCCTGAAGATGCTTTAACGTAATTTTCAATTCGCAGCTTTAAAATGCCGCAATTTTTATATGCACTCTTTTGAAGTAGACAACGCGCATTCGGCAATAATTGATGCCGATTTATCGTTTATGTAGCAACATTTGCTTTGTAATCGCCGAAACATTCATTCAAAAGGATATGAGGATAACGTTCGTTCTTTCGAAATAATGAGATGTAATCGTATTCGTTGATCGTGTCTTAATGGAACGTATTGGAGTTGAAAAGCCTGCTACTCACGATAATAGTAAATTTACAATGTATAGTCCTCTCCTGGTATTCACGCCACATATAAGTTATTTTATTTTCTTACACTACTTGCTTAAAATATGGGGATACATGGCGTTTGCATTTAATTGTTTATTTGAATCGTTACGGAACTCGATACATACTGGCATTCTTCACGATACGGTTACGGGTCGTCGTCATACATTCGTTTGGTGAGGTTAGATGTACGCGCACGTGTCACGCATGCGTCGTATTCAACCACGTGGTTGGTGCGTATAATATCTACGCAGTAGTAGCTTAATAAATATATAATATAATGTATAAGACATGCTTTATATGTATATAAAGCATACAATAATGCATCCATTAATCCCTCTCATAAATGGAGATGGGTCGTTGAATTTAAAATCACAGAATGGATCTTTCTAATATAATTTTTTAGAATTTTTCTTATTTTTTTTTTAAATATACTAATAAAAACTACATTAGCTTTTAATTATTTTATTTTAATGTACTTAATTACAATTTGTAAATTTTTTCATTAATTGTAAAATATAAATAATAAATCGATATATATGTTTATGGTAAATATTTATGGTATGTTTATGATATTAATGTTTTTTAATCATATACATAAAAAATATTTTTATTTGGATATTTTTTTCATTTTAATCATTCTATATTATATTTCTATACGTTTAAAATAAAAATATTTGATAAACTTAAAGTCATTACATATCAATATCAATTATCACATATCAATTATACATATTTTGTCAAAAATAGGTATATTTGTTTCATATAAAAATTAATCAAATTCATAATGTAAAATGAAGATAATAAATAATTACCATCATTGAAAAATTTAATGACTTGCATTTTGTACTTCATAGTATTCTATGATCGGTTTTACTATATTCTAGACAATGCAATGTTGTAAAAACATGTACAAGATCATGTTACGTAGCATATGACAAACTACACATATTGTTCTAATTATAGAAAATATCAAGATTACGAGCCATCGTGTGCAGTACTTTACACGCTAATACTTTTTTAAAATGATTTAATCGAATGAGTTATGTAATATAAGTTTTAAATGTATGAAAATTCATTTATGTCATAATTTTTTGAATAATACATAAAAATGTTCGATTATATTGCATAAAACTAATTTAAATACTAAAATTTAAATACCTAATTACATAAAAATTAAATACATAAAGTTGATCGATATTATTTTTCATGAGTTGAAAAAACCAGAATGATTCAACAAATGTAATTAAAACTTTTAATGTACAGATGTTAATATATATATTCGTGCGATATCTTTAGAGGATCGATTTTAAAGGTCAAAATAAACACAAAAGTTGATGACAAAAATGTTAGTTGAAATATATTTATTAAATTATAAATAATTCAAGTTTTGTGTTAAATAAAATGATTCATAAATAAAGTAAGATTCTATCTTCTATCATGACCGTTACATTCCATTTCTTCTGCTTCATTTAATGCGAATTTAAATTTCTTATAATTTTAATAAATAAACTTCAATCAAAACTTTTATATTTTGATTTTGATGTCTAGAATTAAATGTCCAAAATATCAAAAATATATTAACATCCTGTATAATATAATTATTTAATTACTAATTTTGTATAATTATGAAATGTATGTCTTAATAACCTGTTTTTTTATTTAATCAATTTAGTCTGTGATTTAAAAATTTATATCTATATATACACATATATATGTAAATACTTACATGTAGGTACATACAATTATTATTTCAATTTTATTATTTACAATAAATAAAATGAAATCTTTTTTACATATATTGTTTTAATTATTTAAAAAAATTTCAATTGAAATACACCAAAGAATATAATATGACTAATATGACTTATATTATTTAAAATTCAAGAAAGGATTTAAATATTTATAAACTTTTTAACATGTATACAAAAAGTCATTTTATTTTAAAGCAATTATAATATAATAGTAATGAGTTTTATAAATTGTTTACTATGTTACATATGGCAATAAATATCTTAAAAAGTTGGAAAAAATATTCTACAATATTTTTACAGTAATAAAGTATAATATACTTTTATGTACATATTTATACAAACTTATGCATATATGGAATAATAAAGAATACGCTTATTAATAAATGTAACATTTTTTGTAAAAATTTAATATTACAATCTTTAAATAGATAGAAAGTTTGTATGAAAAATGAGATAATAATTCCTTTGTATTACAATTTTGTTATTATTGTTTTATTAAAAAAAAAGAATAAAAAAGAAAAATAAGAAAAAAGAAAATTATTGCTTAAAATTATTTTAAACACCATAATATAATTAGTTTCAATTTCTATCTATTTTGTTAAACTTAAGTATAAAGAAATTACCAGTAGAATATATAAAAAAACATAAATAATATTACTTTTGTAAAATCTTATATTAGAATAAGATACTAACTAACTAAAAGTAACAATTGCCTTCCTTTTAATCTTATCAGGTTGCAACATTTTTACACATATTTCTTATCATAATGTAAACTTGATGAATAAGAGCTTAAAAAAAAAATTATATTTGTATAAAATTTTTGTTAATATATACAAAACTTATATTCATGTCAAATAGTGCATATATAATAATTCTTTAATTTGTAGCTCTATAAATATGTACTTTTATATACTTTTTCAATGTGTACATTTATATTGATAAAAATTGCACATTAATTGCAGATTTATGTATTTTTTATAAGAAGTTGAGCTTTATACAAAAAATTTCATATAAGCAATATGAAAAAATATTAACTATTCTTTTTCTTTTTTTTTTATAAATGAGAACTACTTAAATATGTATTCTTCAATATAGTTTGAATGATTAACTCAAACATTTTGTACATTATTTGTACAAAATTTATACAGGTTCTTTGAAAAAGTACAATTTTACAACCAATTTTAATTAAATTTAATAACTGTACAATTCAATTCAATGTATTTATTTTTTTCACAATATTCATATTTTTCTGAATTTTTTAAAATATTGTATATTATATTATTTTTCTTCAAAAAAAAAATGTCTATTTTTATTTAAAAATATTTTTTAATTGCGTATTTTAATAATACTGCATTAAATTCAATATTTCTACATAAGTAATTCTTGCTTAAATTATATCATTTAAGAATTCCTAAATATATTTTTTTTTAAATAAGTATAAATAGCCAATTTAAAATTATGAATTTAATTATGAATGTCAACTTATTTCTAATATAACATATATTTGAAACAAATATTAATATATATTTGATTTATATGATGAAGTTTTGCATAAAAAAATTTAGAAATTTAAATTTTAAACATATTAGATATATAACTTACATTTTTTTCTTGGTCACATCATTATTTTAAAGTTTAAAAATATTTGATTCAAATATGATATAAAATGTATATTACTAGAATCAACAACTAGGATTTCTTTTTTGTATTATATAAAGTAAAACACAATTCAACATCTTAAATTACTAGCTACTAGCTATACCTGATTAGATCTCCTACTTCTGCGAGAAGAACTTGAAAATAGTGGACGTGGTTTGTATAAATCATCACTTGAATAACGTTGACTGCTTCTATGCCGACTGCAATTATATAATAAAATAGTTATGATATGGACAGTAAAGATATATATAATTTAAAAATTATAAATATTACAAAAAATATGTAGATTTTTTTTTCAACTTTTTATATTATGTATTATATATAATTTGTTGATTTTTTTAATATATGGATAGCTTCTGGATAACTTGACAACTTTTTTCATAAATAGGGACCTTAAAAAAAATGTTTGATAAATATAATACTTTTAACTCATTATATCTATTTTACAAAAACAAAAAATTTATTTAAAAGTTTATGAAAACAGTCTTAGATATTTTTCTTAGAATAAGAATAAATAAAGAAACAAGTTTTCACTAAAAGAAAAAAAAAAAAAAAAAAAAATTATTTAACATACCCTTTGTCTTCTTTAATTAGATTTGAAGAAGGAATTTTTTCACTGGTTGCAGATACATCACTTTCTGGACTTAGCGGCATAACAAAATTTTCTCCATTTAAAAGTGCTTGAGGAGCACATATGTTTTGTTGAAGTCTTTGCTTCTTAGTTATTAATTTTCTTTTTTTTATGTTATTTAATGCTTCTTCATTAGGTGAATTGAGAACTTTTTTATGGTTCCCTCCATCATTGTTATTATTTGAATTATTTAATAATATATCTGTTAATGGGCTAGATGAATGTTTACGTTTTGGTAAAGGTGGTGCCATAGCTTTTGGTATTGAAGATACAACTTGTCCTCCTAAACTTTCTATTATATCTTCTAAAGAACTATTTTCCATTAATTCTAATGATTCTAAGAAACTAGAAAATTTTTCTGATTTTTCATTATCAGCTTTGAAATAACGACAATCTTCATTATCTTCAACTTCTATTGATGTAAATTCTATTGCCTCCGATTCTTTTTTTATCATTTTAATGTCAGTTACATATCTATTGAAATTACAAAGACTATTGTTTTGATTATCCCGAGAAACATCTTCATTCTTAAATTTTGATGTTGAAGGAATTTCTATATTTTTATTGTCATTTGAATAAGTTATATCATTTATATTTATATTACTTGAGTTTAATTGCTTGTTTTTATCATTTATGTCCATTTTATTAGTATCAATGTTAAAATACTTTGTGCTTTGAGATGTTATATGTTTTTCTAATTTAGATGAACTAGTTTTTTGTTGTATTAGTTTTTCAGAATATATTTCTACAGAATTATCTATTTTTTCTGCCTTTATTATATTGCTACTTGTTTCTTCTATTGTAGAAGACAATGACTCTTTATTTTGTAAGTCTTCAATTCCTTTATTGTCAGACACTTTTGTTTGAATATTGGAAGTTGATTGTTGGGCAGATTCTTTTTCTAATGTTTTATTAGGTAATGTTTCATTTAATGATTTTCTAATACACAGTTCCATATCTGATAATTTCAATTTCAAATTAGAATGTGTTTCCAATAAATCTTTTGTACCAGCTTCAGTTTGTAACATCATTATTGATCTTTCTTCTAAAGTTAAATTAGTATGTTTCTCAGGATATGGTTCTTCATATTCTTCATCTGGTATTTCTATTATTTGAACACGTTCTTCATCTGGCATACTTTCAAAATTATCATTATTTACTGAATTTGATTGTATTGGTTGTTCTATTTTTTGAGTATTTTGCTTTTCCATCTTTTTATTTTCTTTAAGTTTTTGTTTCTCTATTTGTTTTCTAATTTTCATTAATCTTTTAGCTTCATGTATATTTTTTGCAAATTTTGGTTTCTTCACTTTCATTTCTCCTGAAATGCTATTATCTTCTGCTAGTAATGCTCGTTTTTTCAAAGGTAAATTATTATCATTAAATTCTAATTCTGGCTTAATGTGCATTTCATAATTATTAATACTTTCTGTTTTGTATTCTGAATGTAATTCTGTTATTCTGTCCAATTTATAACTTTGTTGATCTAATGATAATTTTAAATTACTTGTATGTGCTTCTTCAATATTATCTGATGTTTCACTACCAGAATTACTTATATGGTTTGTTTCTTTAGAAAAAGTTGACGTATTTGATTTACTATTAGCAATATTAGATCCAGAATTACTAGATTGTGAGTTTTTACTACTGGATCCATTTGAACCATCCCTATCTGTAGAACGTCGATCATTAGAATTTCTTCTTAAACTAGAATGATCATCTTTTGATTTGGACTTCTTTTCTTCTTTTCGTTTTTTATCTTTATGCTGTGAATCATTTTTGCTTTCTCTTTTGCTATCTAATTTCTCATTTCGTGTTGAGCTTTTATTTTGCATGTAATTTTTTATGTCTTTTTTATTATTTAGCTTTTCATTATTTGACTTAATATCTTTTTTTGTTTCAGATTTGTCAATTTTTTCTTCTTTTTCATTTTTTATAAATTTCTTTATGTCTTGTTTATCTAATTTTTCTGTTGAGTCCATTTTCATACCGACATGATTTTTAGATTTTATATGTTCCTTAGAAATTCGTTTTTCATCTCGCTTATTTTTATCTTTGTCCTTTGATTCATTTTTTCTTTCTTTTCCCTCAATAATTTTTTCAGATATTTTAATAGTTTTAATTTCATGAGAACTTGATGAAGAATTTTTGGAAGAACTTTTATTATCTTTTTTATAAGATTTTTTATCTTTTGGAGAATCTTTTTTATCTTTATTTTCCTTGTTTGATTTTGATTCTTTATTGTCTTTATTTAATTTTTCCTTTTCTGTTAATTCTTTTTTTTCTCTGAGCTCTCTAATTTTTTCTTTATAAAGATCTTTTAAATCTTTTCCTTCTTTACTGATATTATCTTTCTTGTCTGTTTCTTTTATTTTATCATCCTTTATTTTACTGTAATTATCTTTTTCTATATCTTTAATTTTATCTGTATTTTCTTTTAGTTGATCACCTTTATCTTTAGTTTTACTTTTGTCATATTTATCATATTTTGATCCACTATGATTCCTTTCTCTTTTTTTATCATTACTTCTATCCCTATGATGTTTTCCTTCTTTCATATGGTTTTTATCTTTTGATTTTGATTTAGATTCAATATCTTTGCTTCTATCTTTATTATTTTTATGTTCATATTTATCTTTTATGCTGTTATTTGTAGCATCACGACAGTTTTCTTTAGAAGATAAATTGTTTTTAATATTTTTAGAATCTTTAATATCTTGTACATCTTTATTTTTATTCAATTCAAAAATATTTTTATTATTTTTATTTTTATTACATTCATATTCTTTGACAGTTTTAAAATTGTCTTTAATATTTTTAACATCACATTTATCTTTATGTATTTCATCTTTCAATGCTTCATGTATTGGTGTTGATGCATGATTAGAAGATCCAAAGTCAGTTACAATTGATAAGCGAGAATCAGAAGAAACTTTACTTAATTGTGAATCTTGATTACTATAATCAAAATTGTCTCTTGATAGTTCATTACAGAAATCAGGACTTCTAGATCTATGGCTAGTTAATTCTGATATACCTGATAAATGAGAATCATTAGAATTGTTAGATTCATTTAAATTCATAATATCAATTGGTTCAAAAGTAGGACTGTCTTCTTCATCTTCTTCTGTTTTATCATCTGATTTTCCAGATATATTTAAATTTAAAATACTACCAGTCTTATTAAAAGTTTTATCATTTTCATCTAATACTTTTTCATCTGAAGAAATATGTCCATTTTCAGATATGTTATCTTTATTTTTTTCATAAGAAATTTCTTCCTCGTGTGATTTTTGTTCATTAATTAATTTTATATCTTTCTTTATTTCTAAATCTTCCATTGCATCCATAGATTCCAAAGATACATCCTTTAAACTATTTTTATCAGACTCTGGTGAAACAGGATCTAAATCTTTGGGTAATAAATCTTTAAGGCCACATGCACCATTTTTTTCTTTTGCCTTAGGTCTTTCTATTCCTAAAAATTTATATACTACATCTTCAATTTGAGGCATAAAAACTGAATATACTTTTGGATTTACTACTTGATCTACTATGCGTTCTACACCAGCATCTAAATAAGGAGCTTCATGTATATGCTTTCGTAATGTTTCTCTCAATTGATTTTTGTTTAAATCTGGTTTCCATGATTGTTTGCTAAGAAAAGAATTTACAGATCCTTCAACTCTTGTACGTAAATTTTGGTATGCTGGCTGTAATTAGAATGATAAAAATTATTATAAATAATAAATATTTATAATCATAAAGAATTTCTATATATAAATATATAATATATAATATATAATATAAATATATAATATATTCTATATATAAATATATAAATATAGTAATATATATAAATATAGTTTTTGAAAAGCATAAATATACATTACATTTTAATCATTATTTTATAACATTATTTAAAATGATTATATAAATAATTTTATTAAAATTATTTAAAAATATTAAATAAATATTACATACTTTTGTATCAACATCAGCGATACATTCTTTACGAAATTGATCAAAAATTCCTTGAGATTTAACTTCTCCTACAATATGATCTACTAATCGTGGATCACCTGCTAATAACGTGTTGGGTAAACTTAATTCCATGATGAATAAAATATTCAAATGATTATAATTCACTTGAACATTAAATAATTATTCATTTTCACTAACGAAATCATTCCACGAAACAGTACGCAGCCATACTCTCTGGCTTTACGTCTAGGTTAAATGTTATATTTGTGTGAGTAAATGAATAATAATCAGTGGTACCAATCTTTCTAACTTTACTCACATCACAAATATTATGATATAATATAGATGTCGAAGTCAGTAATATATTTTACAAATAAATATGCAAAAATAAAAGGTGCATCTTTAGAATTTTACCTTAATAGTTAATAAAAAAAAAAAAAGAAAATAAAATATTTTAAATTTTCTATTATAATATGTAATATTTTTTATCCAATTTATAATTTTTTATATACATATGTTATTTATAAAACGTATATTAGTGAATAAAAATTTTAGATTTAAGGCGTTTCTCAATAAAAAGTGTAGTTCAGTACATGATAATAAATACATCTAAAAAATTTATACTTCTGATCTTATATAAAGTTATTCTATGTCAAATGCAACTTGTTTGTGATTCTATTTTGTCTGGTTATTGCTAATTGATACCACTTTTTTTTTTTATTACGTATAGAGGTTCATAACTTTCTAATTATGAAGAGAATAACGCTTTTTGTCAATGGCACCAATATTTCAAATGGCAAGGTGGCTGCGATTTTATTCATATGTATAATAAATTTTGCTTCACGTTTTATTTTTTCATTTTTATTGAATTCCTAAACATTATATTTTTTCAATTATTTTATATCAACTATATTATATTATATAAATGTACATATAATATAATATATATAATGTTTATATGTATATGATATATAAACTTATTGTTATTTGATATAACAATATAATGACTTATTATCATATGATATAAAAAAAATTTGTTTGAATTGTATATGCATTTTTGATATAAACAATATTACAAAAAATATGTATTTTTCGATTATTTTTTTTATTTACAAATATGTAGATAGATAGTTATATAGAATATTTTTATATTTAATATTTTTGCAAATTCTCTTAATATTTAAGTAAAATATTTTATTTTTAGTAGTATATTTATATTTAAATGTATAAATTAATATTTTATATACTTAGAATATATAATGTCATGTAACTAATTATACAATGAATATGGGGTTGATATTACATGGAAAACTAAAAAAAAAATTAGAATAAAATTTTTTCATACAATTTGATACATTTGTTTTTAAGAAAATTAATTTTTATAAATATATATATAAATATTATTTATTATAAATATATATTTATATATAAAATATAAATATTTACTTAATATAAACTATATTTAATTATATATTATACATTTAATTATATTTCAAATAAATAAGATGGATTATATATCTACAATATATTTTGTTTTTGTGTAATAAAACAAATTTAATATGAAGAACAGTATCTAATGGAATATATAGGAAAAATATATAAATACATAGCAAAATATTTATAATAACATTTATAAATATAATATAATATAAATATAAATATAAATAGTTATGTATAATAATTTACTTTTACATGCTACATATTAATACATATAACAATATTTATTAAGTTAAAACATAGTTAAATGTATACATATCAGCTAAATACATTAAATCAATTTTTTTGAAAACAATATATAATATTTATTTTTGATATTTATTGATATTTATGTTATATGAAATATTTATATTTGTTTTTGTTTTTTTTTTTATATTTTTTATATAAAAAAAATTATATTTAATATACATATATCTATATATATATATATATATATATATATATATATCTCTACATAATATATATAGATATATATATTATAATTAATAAGTAAATTAATATAATATATAATTAATATATAATTAATATAATATATAATTAATTAAGTAAAATAGTGTTTCATGACATTTATATATTATAAATTAATATTTAAATAAAAATTTTAATAATGAATGAATAACAATTTTTAGAATATATAAATCCTATTTAATATATACTGAATATTTAATTATTTTTTAATTATTTAATTATATTTTATTTGAGATGAGAAATTTATACAATATTTATAATAAATTACTTACTTTTTAAATTATCATACTAAAATTTATTACTAAATTATTAATAATTTTTTATATAATCAAAATTTTTTATATAACTATATTATTAATAAAAAATTACTAATAATTAAAATTATTATTTTATAATATTATTACATTATAAATGTAAAATTTGTATTCACAGAAGGTTTATTAAGTTTTACTAAGGAATATAATTAAAAAATCTAAAATTTATATAATTTAGATATTTTCTTATTTTTTTACACGTTTTGTTGTATGTAACAACTAAGTTTTCCAATCAAAATTTATTCAGGTGATTATTTTAAGAAATTATAATAAATATTTTATATATAAAAACAAAAAATATTATATATATAATTTGATATTTATTTGTTTAGGTATTTATGGTAACCAATTCATTAGATGAATTGTTAACAGCAGCTAGCACAAAATTTAACATTGTTGCCAAAAGAATATTTAATGTTCAAGGTGGAGAAATTGATGATATTAATCTAGTCAGGTAAAATAATTATAATCATGATCAATTCATATTTTTTTAGTATATATAAATTATTGAAATAAATTATTTACAGGGATGATGATGTTTTATATGTTTCATGTGGAGAAGATTTTATTTCAAAGGATAAGCTTTGTATTCCAAATCAATTAAATACATATTCAGAATGGATTACACTGAATGTTGGTGGAAAATATTTTACAACAACCAGAGATACTTTAACAAAAAAGGAACCAATGAGTATGTTAGCCAGGTAAGCAAATATATTCAATTGATTTATTATTTATGATTTAATCATAGTTGAGGAAATGAAAAGACATACTGATATATTTTTGTTAATTTTTAGTTAAAATTTACTTTTGCACATACTTATAATATGAAAACACAGAATGTTTACAGACACTACAGGCACTGAACAAAGGATCTTACCCAGCCGACAAGATAAAAATGGTGCATTTCTGATTGATAGAAGTCCTACATATTTTGAACCATTGTTAAATTATTTAAGACATGGACAAATAATACTTGATACCAATGTGAATGCAGCAGGTATGCTTATTACAAATTTTATAATTTATTTTATTATATTATAAGTATATGAAATTTTTGATTTAAATTGTTTATCAAATACAAGTTGTCTTTAATTATTAATTTCTTTTTATTTCTTTACTTTTCATTCTATTAAATATAATAAATTAATTAAATAAAAATTAATTTGTTAGGTGTTTTGGCAGAGGCACGTTTTTATGGAATAGAAGGTGCTATTAATATATTGACTGAAATGGCAGATGAAGAGGAACTTCAAAGAAGTGGTTTAGTATCTTTAACTCGTAAAGATGTACTTAAAGCAATTATGTCAACACCTACAACATCAGAACTTAGGTTTCAAGGTGGTAATTTTGTTGGTGCTGACTTATCACAATTAGACCTCAGAAATATAAATTTTAAGGTGATTAAAGTTATATTGATATTAAAATAAATATTAGTTATAAAAAAGAATTTAATAAAGTTTATATAAATAATTAATAAATATAATTACAAAATAATAAATTTAAAATAATATTTTAGTATGCAATTATGCGTGGCTGTAGTTTGGCAGGTTCAAATTTATCAGGTTGTTGCTTTGAACGAGCTGATTTATCTCATGCAAATTTACAAGGTGCTGTGTTAAGTTGTGTAAGAATGCTATGTGCAAATCTAGCTGCTGCCAATCTTCGTTCATGTAATTTTGAAGATCCTTCAGGTGTACCTGCTAATATGGAAGGTGTGAATCTTAAAGGTGCCAATCTCGAAGGCAGTATTATGTCTGCTGTAAATCTTAGAGTAGCAACATTGAAAAATGCTATTTTAAGAAACTGTGATCTTAGATCAGCTGTATTAGCCGGTGCAGATTTAGAGGTATTATTCCTTAATAATTATTTCTTTTGAAATATATATTTGAGCTTATTTTGAAAATACATATTAATATATATTTCAGTGCTGTGATTTATCAGGATCCGATTTACATGATGCAAATTTGCGTGGCGCAAATTTTAAAAATGCTGAATTTAATCGAATGTTAACACCATTACATATGTCTCAAACGATACGATAAATTTATTTTAGATTCACAATATAAATATTTATTTAATATGTAAAATCATAGCGAATATAATGATTATTTTTATAGATTGCGTTTAGTGTTATATGCAAAATATTCGCCTAATTTTTTGTGCTTGTGTGTGTGAACTTGTTATGTTAAATTATTGCTATATTATTAAATTACAGTCTAGTGCTGCAATCAGCGGTCTAACTAAATATTTATTATTAAAAATTATTTATGAAATATTTATCAAAATATTTCATTCCATAGAATTAAAAATTATAGAATATAAAATAGAAGATAAAATACTACATAAACTTGTTCAAAGAAAATAAAAATTTTGACAGATATAACGATTAAAAACTTTATCAAATATAACATATAAACTTTTAAAAAGATATTTATAACTGAAAAAAATTACGTGAATTGAAATATATATAGAATTATACAATTTTTTATTTTCTATTTTTCGGTATATTATTTTTTGTCCAAAAAAAAAAAAAAAAAATTTGTATTATATTGTAATTTTTAAAAAAATGTATAAAAACAAAATATTTTTTTTCATAACACAGAGTCGTATTTTTTTATTGATTGCGGCGTTAATATGTACATTCAATAAAATTTTATTTCTATTTTTTATATAAATTTTTATATAAATAATATATTTTCAATGTAATAAGAATAAATTTATCAATATTTAATTAATATGTAGTTTTTTAATCTAATATAATATTTTTATTTTTTTTAATCTTTTTATATTATCATATTAGTATATAATAAATATAATAATATTATTTTATTATTTATATTAGTATAGTAAATAATTGAATGAATTTTTTTTTAAGAATTTAAAATTTTAAAAAATCCTTATTCCTTATTTTCTTTATGTATTAATTTTTTATTAAA